TCGACAGTCCGGATATATTTTTTTCATTTTTGCTTTTGTGAATTTATGTGGTGACTGCAGTATACAGATTCTAGTTTTGATAATTTTAAATAGATTTTGGATGCTGTTAAGGAATTCCATGTGTTTCACGTACCGAAGAAACAGAAATTTTTAAATAACGCAAGTTGATATTTTCTTTTTGTATTGCACAGATTACATAACATACATTTCCATTCCTATGTTAGTCCGTCATTTGGTTTAAAATGCAGTTTATTGAGATTATATACTTTTTGGGCTAGACTGGAGATTATTGTCCAGTCGCCAAATGAAGCGAAATTGCACCTATTTTTGGGGGTAAAGTGCAAAATCACCCACTTATTTGTTTGACGCTTTTTACAAGAGTAAGAAGAATTGGATTTTTGTCAATTTTCTTTGACTTTTAACTGAAAATAGGTCATGTGTACATGGATTAAGTCAAGGGAGTGCGCAATGCCATTTTTGTGCAATTCTGGGATAATTTTTTAAGTGAAAACAGGTCGATGTGTACATGGATACCGAGTATGTGCGATTCTTAAAAATGCGATAAGCAGTGGGCAATTCTGCACTTTCCCCATTTTTTTCATGTTTACAGAATTAATTCAAATTCGCAACCATTTAATATGCCGATATGATAAGTTAGCGATTTTCTAAAACGCGTGAAAATAACCGATTTGGCGGTTTTTTGAGAACATGCCAAACTGGACCGTAATATCCAGTTTTACCTTATTTTGTTTTGCAATGGAACCTCGAGATACGAGCACCTCTATATACGAAACATTTGAGATACGAGGAAAGTATGGGTGAAAAATTCATCTCTAAATACAAGCACTGACTCAAGTTACAAGTACCGCTGGTATGCGTGGTGAGTCTCCTGATTCGCCTTGACTCTGGGAAACCCCTCGTCAGATCACCGAGTGTTCTTTGATCTATGAGTTTGTATGCTTGTGAGCTGTTTTTTTTCATTTAACATGAAAATAATTACTTCACGATGCCTCCCAATAAGATTGTTGGCTCACATAGTGCTGCAAAGAAAAGGAAGGAAACCATGGGCATTGAAAATAAGAAAGAAATCATAGATAAACATAAGCGTGGTATAAGAGTCATGGAATTGGATGGCTGCTCAACATCGATAATTTGCACGGTTGATCTTTACAATATGGTAACTGGTAGTTTGGCGACATTTTGGAGGCGATAAAGGTTTACTACCTGGCACTTTGGTAATAATGTGAGCAGTACTCAGTTCTGATTACGCATTATTTTGTGTGAGGGAAATGAGAGATCATGGGATATGTCATGTGATATTAATGGACGAATTATGGTTCTTTAATTGGAAAAGGGGAAAAATCGGGAAAAAATCTGGAAATTTTTATTGCGTTTAGCATTTTGTATTTAGCTTCATAGTGTGTTGTGTGAAACAGTGTTCGATGAATTTTTGGATCCCATGGCCCTATGTAAAGTGAATTCGAAATGGGTATTATGTATGTATTAATTTAATGTATGTGCTCATTTATATTTTAAGTAGTGTTTTTGAATTTAATTATATTTTAATTAAAAATGATAGTTATTTTGAGAAATTTTATGTTTGTAGGAATTTGGTATACGTTTTAATTGAAGTAAACTTGCATGGAAATAATTTAAATATCTGACACTAAGTATTTGTAATGGTTGCTGTATGAATTCGTTGGTGACGTGTATAACGTAACAGATGATTTAGAGGTAAAAGTTTTTGGATATTTTATTTATTTTATATGTGGAAATGTTCATATTTGGAAAGGGTAAATATTTTTTCGCGATCAGGTAATTTCATATATGTTCTTTTTACCGGGTTTAAAGATTGAGAAAATTGTCATGTATTTTCGTGAAATTTTTCTAATTTATGAGAAAAAAAGCAGTGTACATGGATATAGTGAAGAGTGTGCGCAGTGCCATTTTTGTGCAATTCTGGGATGTTTTTTAAGTAAAAATAAGTCGGCGTGTACATGGTTTATGTGTATGTGTTATTTTGAAAAACGCGTAAGGAGTATGGTATTGTGCACTTTTTCCCAATTTTGCAGTGAATATTTGTCATGATTAAGCAGTTTTGTTAGATAAAATTTCTAGCATAAGTGTAATTCGGCTAGTAGATTGTTGGAAGAAGTGTTCAGTAGATAAAAAGAAAAGAAACATGTCTTTACTTCGTGAAGACAAAATGGCGGCGGGGAAAAAAAATAGAGGGTTGCTGTAGGAGAGTTGGTCGCCAAATTTTCGCCAAAAAAATGCCAAATTACCATAATGTAAAGATCAACCATTTGCACTATTCTAAAGAAGGAAGAAACTAAACTTGATGTGGTCAAAGGAGTAACTATTACATTCAAGCACCATCCAAAACTCCTAGAAGATGTTGAGAAGCTGTTGTTGGTGTGGATTAGCGAGAAGCAGTTAAAAGGTGATTCGGTGTCGGAAGCTAACATTTGTGCTAAGGTTAAGAATCTGTACTTGAACCTCCTCTGAAAAACACCAGGCATTATTTACCAGTGTTATTTATTATGAAAATTGATTTTTATGTTGATTATTTTGGGAGTTGCGAAAGATTAACTGGATTTCCATTATTTTGAATGGGGAAGTTTGTTTCTAGATACAAGAAATTCGCTATACATGCTCAATACTGGAACATACTAAACTCGAGGTTCCACTGTATGTTTTATTGTATTACGTTTTGGATGCCATTTTACTAGGAAGGCTCTTTGGATGTAAATGGGAACGGCACGAAAAAATCATCAATTTTCACCAAGGGGGGTACCTGAAATATATTTTTACCAAATCAAGCAAAACTGAATTATGATTATCGGATATAAACTGTTTGCACAGCTCAATCTTTGAAAAGCATTCCAATTTGGACCTTAAATCTATGGAATTTAAAATTATAATGTGCATTTCATTATTCTATACGCTGTGCGAAATTAAAAAATATATTAGTTCACAAATACTTCACCAATTTCCAAATTCTAACAGCCATTCATTTTATTTTATTCTATTTTTTCCTAATAATCTGGTGTTCAGCAGCGTTCTCTTTATGATAATTCTGTATATGCGTCTGTGTATATCCAAGAAACTTCGTAGTCATATTATGGTAACTTGGCGTTTTTTTTGGCGAAAATTTGGCGACCAACTCTCCTACAGCAACCCTCTATTTTTTTTTTCCCGCCGCCATTTTGTCTTCACGAAGTAAAGACATGTTTCTTTTCTTTTTATCTACTGAACACTTCTTCCAACAATCTACTAGCCGAATTACACTTATGCTAGAAAAAATTTTTATCTAACAAAAAACTACTTAATCATGACAAACATTCACTGCAAAATTGGAAAAAGTGCACAAACCATACTCCTTACGCGTTTTTCAAAATAACACATACACATAAACCATGTACACGCCGACTTATTTTTACTTAAAAAAACATCCCAGAATTGCACAAAAATGGCATTGCGCACACTCTTCACTATATCCATGTACACTGCTTTTTTCTCATAAATTAGAAAAATTTCACGAAAATACATGACAATTTTCTCAATCTTTAAACCCGGTAAAAAGAACATATATGAAATTACCTGATCGCGAAAAAAAAATTTACCCTTTCCAAATATGAACATTTCCACATATAAAATAAATAAAATATCCAAAAACTTTTACCTCTAAATCATCTATTACATTATACACGTCACCAACGAATTCATACCGCAAGCATTACAAATACTTAATATCAAATATTTAAATTATTTCCATGCACGTTTACTTCAACTTAAACGTATACCAAATTCCTACAAACATAAAATTCACAAAATAACTATCATTTAATTAAAATATCACTAAACCATGTACACGTCAACTTATTTTTACTTAAAAAAACATCCCAGGATTGCACAAAAATGGCATTGCGCACACTCTTCACTACATCCATGTACACTGCTTTTTTCTCATAAATTAGAAAAATTTCACGAAAATACATGACAATTTTCTCAATCTTTAAACCCGGTAAAAAGAATATATATGAAATTACCTGATAACGTATACCAAATTCCTACAAACATAAAATTCACAAAATAACTATCATTTAATTAAAATATAATTAAATTCAAAAAAAACTATTAAAATATAAATGAGCACATACATTAAATTAATAAAAATTACCTTACAATCCTAATTACTTTAAACTAAATCATTGCTAATAACAATTTTCCCAATAATACCAAATTCCTTTACTTCCACCTTACATTTAGAACAATGCATAAAAATAATATCCTCAAGTAATTAAAAATACTAACTTACATAATCTTCTTCAGAATCTTGATTACGTGTCCGATAAACTTTTCTTTAGTTACGGCCATGGGATCCAAAAATTCACGAACACTGTTTCACACAACACAGAATAAACCAAATACAAAATTTCCAGATTTTTTCCCGATTTCCCCTCTTTTCCGATTCAAGAACCGTAATTCGTCCATTAATATCACATGACATATCCCATGATCTCTCATTTCCCTCACACAAAATAATGCGTAATCGGAACTGAGTACTGCTCACTTTATTACCAAAGTCCCAGGTAGTAACCTTTATCGCCTCCAAAATGTCGCCAAACTACGAGTTACCATATTGTAAAGATCAACCGAAAATTCACTCTATTCAACAATTTTCTTAATTGATGTAAATTAGAAAATTTGATAGCATCTGAAACATTTTCATGAATTCTCAAGTAATGTCAATAAACGATATAACAATTTTATTTTGCAGTCTAATTTTACTTGCACACTTCCTTTTTAGATTTTCAGAGAAACTATTAACACTCTCCAGTACTACTCGATCTTCTAGAAAAATACCAGTAACAATAATTGGAGTTTCAGATTTGAAAGTTACTCATATGAAACATAATTAATATTATGGACTAAATTGTAAATAGCTAGTAACACTTATAAGCTAAATCAATTCGTACATGCATAAGTGAACTTACCAGGTGCCAAATACCAAGGATTATAGTTCCAGTACGGACATGAAAGCAAATACAGCAGCGGAAATTTTCGCTACTACCGAAATCAGATTTCATATGCATCTAGATAAATAGTGAAGCTCTGAAAATATAAGGAGTATAATGGATACAAGAAAAGAGTTAAAATAGCATACATAACTCTAACTTTTTTTATACTTAAAAAGTATACACTTCTGCTTTTAAACAAATATTTAATTACAGCTAAGGGAGACAATACGGAACATCTCTAAACAAATAAAAAAACAGTTTTCACCAAAACGCTGAAAATGCAGCTTTCATTTCACAGTGGCCATTAAACAGGATTAAGTTCCTGAACGTTTCTTCCCTTTAAATGAAACACCAAATAAATACAATATAATATTAAACTAGCTCTAATTTCCCATCGCATAGCTTAACAATAAATAAATGACTTTTTCGCAAGAAGCCACATTTCTTTCCTCAAACTGCAGTTAAACAAATCCCTGTTTCAACTCACAAAACATAAAGCTTAAATATTTGAATACAGATAAATTTCATAACACGAAAAAACGACTCTGTACATTGTTTTAGATCTTGTCCACATTCAAGACTGTGAACGTATTTTTTTTTTTTTTTTATGATAGGCAAGAGTAAAATAATACATAACTATTAGAATTCAAATAGTAGAAAATAAAATGGAAAACAATTACATACTCAAAATTCGCCGAAGTACACACTATTACTCAATTCCACAACGATAAATTTGCTATCTTAAATGTGTCTAGCAGTCCCACCTCGGACGTTCTGCATTTCGAAAACATTTTTGTAAATTTCCGAATTGTTGCGCAGAAACATATTTTTGTGATCTGCGCATTGCCAGCTGAATCAATGACAAGGTTATAAAAACCAGAATGGTCCTTATTCGTCTGTGCGTGTCTACAAACGTCGTCTACATACGTGCGTACATACGTCGCAGTACATACGCCCAATCAATAACAGTCGCAGCTCACTAAAAATTCTCTCTTGGAATACGAACGGTCTGTTCGGCAAAAAAAGAAGAATTTAATGACCTAATTCAAGAACTGGAACCAGACGTAATTCTCATTCAAGAAACTCACCTGAAGCCGTGCAAAAAAGTACTAATAGCAAATTATAATATCTACCAGACAGACCGGGACACAGGAAGAGGAGGAGGAATTTGTACCTATGTCAAAAGAAGTCTTGATCATCAAATTCACCCAATAATTTAATCTCATTTGAAAGCAACAGCATTATAGTGAAATTCAACAATCAAAGATATATCATCTCTAATATTTACATCCCACCAAGAAATAACCCGGACATGACAGAACTAGGAATTCTACTTCCTACAAACTCTACTGCAATAGTGGGAGGCGACTTCAACGCCAAACATAGACTATGGAATCGTAACTCATCTAATAAAATAGGCAGGGACATTTTCAACCTCATTCAAAATAGAAATCTTAACATACATGCCACCGATGAGCCTACCCATTACGGGTACAATAGCCACTCTACAATAGACTTTTTTTCTTCCCTGTAACCTAACTCCAAACTGTACCATCTCTGCCATTCCAGCCTTAACATCCGACCACAACCCGATCATGCTTGGAATATCCACTAATGCCTACTCTCCGACTTTGGGACGCTGTGTGGGAATTACAAATTGGCCAAATTTCTCCGAAATTTTAAACTCTATGATACCAGGTAACCCAAAAATTGAATAGGAATCCCAAATAGAAGAAGAAATTGATAAATTCACTCAAAATATTCAACATGCCATCAATCTAGCTACCAAAAACATCACTATCAAAAATAATCATATGCCTCTCCCCAGGGAAATCAAGGACAAGATTAGAAGAAAAAACAGGATTCGAAAAATCTGACAAAACACTGGAGACCCCATTATTAAAAACCAACTCAACAGGATCCAAAACGAAATTAAAAGAAACATCGCAAATTTCAAGCAAGACAGATGGAAAAATTATTTAAATGACTTATCTACAGAAGACAATAGTCTTTACGAAATCACTAGAAAGTTCAAAAATAGTTATAAACAAATCCCTAATCATCACACAATCTCCGGCGTAGTATATTCCAACCAAGACAAAGCAAACGCCATCGCTGACACTTTGCAAGAAACATTCACTCATAAATCCAAACCCATATGATGAAGACACAATAAATGAAGTCAATAGCCTTGTTAACAACTTTGTCAATACCCCTGGACCTCGCAACTTTACTTTCCTCACTAATCCTATCACCGTAGCGGAATTTATCAATTATCAGAAGAGGAAAAAAGCCTCAGGGGACGATGGAATCACAAATATTGCACTGAAGATTCTTCCCATCAACGCCATCACCTGTCTCACTAAAATTATCAACAGCATCATCAAACTGGCTTATTATCCTAAAATTTGGAAACACGCAATTATTGTTGTCTTCCCGAAATCTAACTCCAATCCGGCTTTCCCAGAAAATTATCGTTCCATTAGTCTACTGAGCAACCTCGCAAAAATAGGTTACCGTATCATATTTATCCAGCAAAAAATTCATTCCTTCAACTACCTGCCTGACGAACAATTTGGCTTCAGAGAAAAACATAGCACCACACATCAATTACTAAAAGTTATCAACTATATCACGGATGGATTCAACGCCAAACTGCCCACAAGTGCCATATTTCTGGATGTCGCAAAAACGTTCGACAGGGTATGGCACAATGGCCTTATATTCAAACTCATCAAATTAAATTTCTCGAACCACTTCCTCCGACTTGTCGCCTCCTACCTAGATAACAGAAACCTTCTCGGTCAAAATTAATAGCAGTCTCTCCTCTAGAAGAAGTTCGTATAATGGTAGGTACACCTCAAGGATCAGCACTTTTCCCATATTTTTTATATCTATATTATAATATGTAAGGAAATTATTCTTTTATAATATATACACTCACGATATTCCAAGAAATCCATCTATCACAATAGCGCTTTTCGCAGATGATACAGCTATTTTAACTTAAGCCTCCACCTTAACTAACGTCTGGCTGCAACTACAAAACTATCTAAATCAACTTGAATACCGGCTCTCCAAATGGCGAATCACAATTAATACCCAAAAATCCAAAGCAGTTTTATTTAAAAAAGGCAACTTTGATAAAAGACCTCCCAAACCTATCATTTTCGAAGAAGAAATAGAATGGGAAAACGAGGCAAAATACCTTGGAATAATACTTGACAATAAACTCACTTTTCGCCAGCAATTTAAAGCAACAAAACAAAACCTCAATTACACCAGGGTCCATATGCGTCCCCTCCTAGGAAGAAGAAGCAATCTTTCCTTAAAAACCAAATCATTCTTTATAACCAAGTTTTAAGACCTGCATTACTCTACGAATGTGAAATCTGGGGTCATGCCGCGAAGACAAATTTGAAACAACTCCAAGTCATTCAAAATAAACTTTTTAAGAGAAATCACTGACGCACCCTGGTTCCTCTCGAATGTAAATATTCACGACGATCTCAAAGTCAAGCCCATCAACGATTATATAAAAGAAACCGCAGCTAACTTCTTTCAGTAAAGTCAGAAACCACAATAATCATCTAACTGCCTCTTTTAAGAAATCGCCCATCCAATTCTAAGCACAAATGCGCCAGCGAATGGATATACTTATTCCTCCAGCAACCAGCAGAAGAGCTTAGCTATTAGGGTCATTGAACTGAGCGCCCCCGCCAGCAGAGTCAACCGGGTTTCCACTCCCGCCATATGATCGACGAAACAGCAGTACTACTTTCCAGTCGAACGGCCCTCCCCTTTCCTTCCCAGATGCTCCCATCAGATGTGAAGAAAGCGAAAGCGCTGCTTTCGGAAGCTTCAAACAATATGACGATCTTCGACGACATACGTCGCAACTACCAAGAAGAGGTCAGAAAGAAATCTGTAAACTAGCCCTTGGAATGAAAAAATACATAAATTTTTATGTCGTTTTTTAAGTACTTCATATCTCAATTGAATGGTCGAATTCAAATCTTCTCAGACGTCAGTGTTTAACTTGATGTGGTTTGAGTCCAATTAATTGAGATATAGCTTAATTTTAACCAGTTTCGTTTTTAAAGGATGCGAGGAGGAAAAAAAAAAGATGTAAAAATTCTAGTAAATTGTTATTTTTATAAACCTTTTCAGCACTGCTATAATCAACAAAAGATGTTTCTGTCACTGTGTATGTTACAGTAGTGTAGAATAGTTTGGCTTTTAAATATTTTAAGCTTATATATTTTATGGAAAATGATTATGAAAAGCCCGTTTACACTAGTTTACACATTCAATTGATGATTATAATTTTGAACACACACTAGGAATCGACAATAGTGAATAGTAATTGAAATATTTTTAGTCGTTAAAGAAAGGAAGAAAACGTTTTTATACAAACGTTTATACCCTCATGATCTTAAGTTTATTATGATTGTTCCTATCACACACGGGTATCTAGTGGTACGAAGCCGATGGCAAAACATTTACACCACATAAGTATAGTAATTTAGGTATCAGTGAGGGCATACAAGAAAATGTTAATAGATTACTTGCAATGCACATAAACAAATGCTAAAAAGCTATAGAATAAACCAAGTTTGAACATCGATGAATACAGGGAAGCATAACAAAGTAAATAAAAACAGAAAATAAAGCATTAAATAAATACTTATAGACGCAGAATACTTAGTTTTACATAAGTTATCAATAATTATACCTTAGAATTATATTTTATTCAATTATGTGTTATTTTGAATTTAATACTCTTTGCTATACCCCGTTGATAGTAAACAGCAAACAGAACGATATTTACGAAGACGTACCTTGATGTGCTACTACGGATAATCCCTTAGCAGGGAAAAAGTATCACGGCTGTCTCCCTACAACAGGGATGGGCAAACGTTTCCGATCGCGGGCCAAAAATCGAAAAAAAAAAAAAAAAAAAAAAAGGTTTGTCGGGTTGAGATAATTTTTTTTAAATTTTAAAAACAATATACCAGTGTTACAATTGGAATATGATAATGAGATGAATGAAATTGCGCTTTCATTAAGTTTCTTATATTGAGGTTCTAAGTGAGATGTACTGATTCTAAGGAACGAGGCTAAATGCTCATCTGTCAGTCTATTTCTGAAGTAATTCTTCCTAAGGTTCATAGTTGAAAACACTTCTTCACATATATAAGATGAAGCAAACATAGCACTGATTTTCTGGGTGTGAAATATTAAATTTGGGAAACTTACTTTCGATAATGATTTATAAAACTCTAACTTTGGCGTATTTAGAAATAACTGCTTGAGATGATTGTTAGATTGCAACTCAATTAATTCAAACTGCATATCTGGCCTCACTGCTTCTCAATTTACGTTGAAAGGCATGGTAAAAATATCCAATTCTTTTTGAATGGATCTGAAATCCTGAAATCTGCGTTCGAACTCAAAATATAGTTTTTTCAAACCATTTTCATAATTCTTAAGCTTCTCTTCATTTAGTAGATACAATTCAAGATTATATTCAAAAACTTGCCAGAAATTTCTTCTATTCAGTTCTCACTCATCCTAACAACTGCATCAACTCTCTTAGATGTTCTCCATTTCCCAGAGAAAAGCACAAATATCAATCTGACATTCTCTATCCTTAACATTATTTCCCATCCTTAACATTTTTTCCACCTTAACATTACTCCTTAACATTATTATTATTAACTCATATTAGATTCTTCAGTTTACTGATTTGGACCTTCAACCAGACACTCACCTTTTTCGTTGACTGATGGCGGCCACCTGACTTTTACTTTTGTCTTTTTGTTTTACTGATGTTCTTC